CCAGTTCTACCTGAGCTTGAGATCCATAGTAGGATCAATTGAGAGAGAAAGAGAGAGATGTTTGGGACGTAAAATAAGGGCTTTACCAGTCCTAAGGTCAGAATAACCCTTACCTTGACCCAGAGGATTGGGTTATTCCAGAAGACGGAAGTCTTCCAGAACTAAGAAATAGGTGTATGAGATTTACTGTTAGGAGTAAATATCAGATACTGAGGTTGATGACAGGATAAGAAGCTATGAAGGCTTTGTTACCCTCAACTTCTGATGAATAGCTAGAACCCTAACGGATATGAATGTATGACTTTTTGGGATGCTACTAACCTAGTAGGGTTAGGTTACATATATGTATGCCTCAGTTAGGAACTGTTTCAGTATGATGAATTAGGCTTGCTGCTTTTGCTGTTATGGCTGTTATGCTATGAATGAGGTTACGTTATGACATTTATTCCCTGTTCCTTTATATTCTCAAAATAGACTTAATAATGGTTAGAACTAGACACAATATTTCCCCTGAAAGAGCTATAGGAAGTGAAGCAAGGCTCCTCTGGACCCTTTACAGATGATCCTAGATCGTTTGGAACAACAGCAAAGGACCATCGAAGAGATGAGGGTGACACAAGCTCACCGGAATAGGAAAGGGGACACAGTAATAGCTACAGCTGTAGCAGCAACAATGGAAAACCTCAACCAGGCAACTAGAAGAAGAGGTATCCATAGCTCAAGAATCGAACAGTTGCTTAGACCGGTAGCACCGGCAGCAGACCCTGATAGCATCCAACAATAGATGACAAGATTCTGCAAGCACAATCCCCCTACGTTTGATGGGAAATTTGACGTCTAGGCAGCTGAGGATTGGATCAACCGCTCGAGAAGATCTTCGAGTGCTAGATTGCCTATCAGAAAGGAAGGCCCAGATGGTCATCTACAAGCTGGAGAGGGTGCAAATCGCTGGTAGAGGAATACCAAGCTGATTCTTGAAGCACGCCACACAAGAATCACTTGGGAGGTATTTCTTGAACATTAGAGATGACAGGGAAGCTAGGTTCTTGACTTTGTGATAGCAGGACAAGGAACCATTTGTGATGATACTTAGCCAAATTTATTCGCCTCTCCTACTATTCTAATTATTTACATTATAGATAAGATGAGAGGTAGACCACAGAAAAGATAGTCAGAGGACTTAAAACATCCTTAAAGAAGTGATTGCCCTAAGGCAATTTAAGGAGTTTAATAAGGCAGTTAAGGCCTGTAGGATTACAAAAAATAGTATGAATCACCACTCTACCTCTAAGCACTCCTAAGAAAGAGAAAGCCCCTAAGAGAGGAGATCAAGATGGGGCCTCTTCTAGCACCAAAAAGAGAGAGGGTCATGGTACACAACAGAGAGGCATAAAGGAGGCAGAATAGGAGGTGACCAAACAAGGGGTAAAGTATGCAAAGTCTGTGGCAAGAACCATGGAGGCAGGCTGTGTTTAGCAGGATAGGACAGAACGCCTACTTTACTGTGGTGCAAGCCTAGACATTTTACAAGAGAATGTCCCCAGAATGCTGATAAGCCCAGGCTTAGACACAAGAAGGTGTTTTGCTGTGACACAGGCAGAGGCCTACCAATCACCGGACATGATCCAAGGTACGATCAGTGTTAACAGTTATCCAGTGATTGTTATGTTTGATTCGTGTGCTAGTCATTCTTTCATATCTTATGACTGTGTTGGCAACTATGCCTTATTACTAGTATGTTGGCCCTATGTTATACTGTGTCAATACCTACTCACACTAGAGTAGTTTACGTAAGATGTTTGCCTTAATCGCATTGTTCAGTATGAACATTGTCATACTACTTTAATCTGATATCTATGCCTTTTCATGAGATTGATGTGATCATTGGTCTAAACTGTTATCTTCCCAAAATGTATTATTGGATTGTACAAATAAGACCTTGATCCTTCCCACAAGAGAATCAGACTAAATCTCGAAGTTAGGCTAAACTTCATAACGGAAGCCTAAGCTAACAGATGCCTGTGAAGAGGTTGTTAAGGATTTCTCCGCCTTCTTCTCGATGCAAGCTGAAGTAGAAGAAGGGACAGAAGAGATTCGAGTTATAAAAAATTTCCTAAAATATTTCTAAAGGAAATTAAGGATTACCTCCAAACAGAGAAGTTTGAGTTCTCAATAGACACTGTACCTAGGGCCAGACCAATTTCTAAAGCCCCTTATAGGATGGCCCTAACAAGATGATAGGATGAAAGAAGCAATTGAGGAATTACTTGAGAGGGGTTTCATCCGGCTAAGTGTTTTACCATGGGGGTGCTCCAGTACTATTTGTTAAGAAAAGGGATGCTATTTTAAGAATATATATTGATGATAGAGAACTCGACAAGGTCAGGATTAAGAAAGTATCCCCTACCAAGGATAGATGACTTGTTGGATCATTTAGTTGGTGCTAGTGTATTCTTTAAGATAGATTTGAAACCCAGTTACCACTAGCTCGGAATCAAGCCTAATGATGTCCCCCAAGACTGCGTTCTGAACTCGCTAAGGGCATCATGAGTTCTTATTGATACCCTTGTGGGAGTCTCTAGAAGAGCATGAAGATCATTTGAGAATTTTCCTTAGTACCCCGAGAGAGAAGCAACTCTTTGCCAAACTTAGTGAATATGAGTTTTGGCTTCAGGAAGTCTGTTTTCTCAACCATGAGATTTCCCGAAAGGGAGTACTTGGTGACCCTAGTAAAGTTAAGGCTGTACTGAATTGGGAGCGGCCTAAGATCGTGACTGAGATCAGAAGTTCCTCAGACTTGCAGGGTATTAGAAGGTTTATTAAGGATTTCTCTCTGATTGCTCTTCCGCTGACCAAGCTAACTAGGAAGAACCAGCCGTTCGTGTGGGACAGAGAGAGTGAGGCTAGTTCAGGAGCTGAAGAGGAAGCTCACGTCTACTCCCGTACTTGTAATCCCTAATCCTATGCAGACCTCTGGGGTCTACACAGATACTAACAAGCAAGGACTGGGATGCGTGTTGACGCAGTAAGGTCAGATTGTAGCCTATACCTCACGCTAGTTAAAGTCTCTTGAGGAGAACTACCCGACCCACAACCTGGAATTGGCAGCGATAGTTTATGTAGTCAAGAAATGGAGACATTACCTGTACAGAGCAAGTATAGAGTTGTTTTGCTACCACAAGAGCCTCAAGTACCTCCAAGATTAGAGGGAGTTGAACATGAGGCAGTGAGGTAGATAGATCTGTTTAAAGAATGTGATTTCCAGATGAAGTACCATTCGAGGAAAGCTATTATGGTCATAGATGCCTTGAGTAGGAAGGCAGTACACGTAGCATCACTAATGATCTGAGAGCAGGAGCTGATTAAGGATGACAGAGACTGTAACATCCTGATTTTTGGGCCTAGAAGTACTAAAAATAGCCTAAATGAGATAGGCTACTAGACCCCTTTTTAGTAGAGGTCCTAAAGATGAGAAAGGAAGTTAAAGCAGTTTCAGGGACTAAACTGCAAAGTGAATGTTTTAAGGGGCTAAAGGGTGATCAAAGTTAGAGGCTCCAGTAAAGTCTCAAAGGCCCAGAAAGAGAAAAGAGGCTAGATACAGACCAAAGGTTAAGTTAGAAGCCTCAAAGAGATGGTTTTATGAGGTTGAGCCTAAGCAGGGGTAAAACCGTAAATTCAGAAAGTTACGGCCATCAGGGGTAAAAATGAAAAGTACTTAGAAAATTCTAAGAAAATCCCAGAAAATGGGAAATAATATTCTAAGGCTCTTTTGTGAAGAGAGATGATGAAAATACCCCTGAGGTAACTTAAAAGGAATTTATAAGTTTATGGCTCAATTTGAGATGTAGAGGTAGATTTAATTGTTTGAGTCATAAGAAAACCTCAGAAAATTATGGTAAAATGGGGATGTATATCTAAGAGATTATAGAAAATTATAAAATTAGTCTCATCCCCAGAAGACTAGCAAAATGGCTTTAAGAATACTTAAAAGCCAGTTGTGCCAAAAAAAGGCATTTTAAAGAATGATTTTTAAGTGAGGCTACAGGTTGAGTTATGACGTGAGAAAATTCACAAATTTTCTCTAGAATATGAGGAATTTTATGATATTTTTGGATGAATTTTTAGAGCTCTGGATTGAATAAAATGCTCCAGTCAAATATTAAATAATTTTGTCCCCTAAATAGGAGACAAAACCAAAGAAAATATCTAAGAGCCATCATGACGATGCTGAGTCATTAAGCGTAATCATGACACCGACGAGTCATCATGTTGAGTCACCAAGCATAATCATGACACCTACGAGTCATCATGCTGAGTCACCAGAAGATATTTATGGACAGTATAAAAATCAGAAAGCAGTATGGGAATATTTTAGACAGTCTTTTGTCTACAGTCTTTGTCTACCCGTTATAGTGAAATCTCTACTGCATGACTCAGTAAGGTTAAGTAGCCCGTCAGTAAGCTAATTATTTTTCCCTCTACTCCTCTAAGGTGGCACCATATATGTACTTATTAAGATGAAAAAATAGTGTCAGAACATGTCCTGGTGGTACAGGGTAAGTCAAGACCCGAAAAGTATCCGATACGTGCAAGATTGGCTTGATAGGTGGAGAAATAATTAAGAAAATATTTTTGCACGAATTTTCCATTTATTTTCTCCCTATTTTAATGCCATAAATGATGAAAGGACATGAAAGTGACAAGTGTACGGTTAGATGAGAAAAAGAAAATATTACGTGTACGGTTAGATGGAAGACACGTGTACGGTCGGATGCAAGACACGTGTGCGGTCGGATTAAAGACATGTGGCTTGATGATGTAAGCATGATGTCATCATGATGAGGTAAGCATGATGTCATAGGACACTTGTCATGTAAGATCAAAAGAGAAAATGGACGGTCCAGATCGAGCCACGTATTTTAAGATCAACGGTCCAGATTCAGTCTGTTTTTCTATAAATACCCCCTCCCCTCCCTACCATTTCGTCCAAGCATAAGGAATCCATGGGGAAGCTCTTGCAAAATGGTTTCTAGAGAGAGAAAGAAGAGGGAGAAAGAAAGGCCAAGTGGTCCAAGCCAAATCAAGCTCTAAAACAAGGTATGTGATGGTTATAGCGCCTGATTTTATGACTATTTCGGATTAGTTACTGTTTGTATCTGATTCTGAAATTTTGCATGCTTAAAGTACACTCTATGAGCTTTAAATCCATAGGTAGAACACTTCATTTGGATATATGTACGATTTATGGTGATTTTTCAAAGTTAGGGTTTGAAATCTGGAAACAGTGTTGAACTTTTGGAAGAGTTTCGATTTCCATACAGTTCCGGTACTGTTCGGTGTAGAATTGGTTCCTGAAACTATTTTTCCCTTAAATTTAACTTAAGGAGCTTTCAGTGAGACTTATAACTACTCAATTTGGATTTTTCTAGAATTAATTATGAATTTTCAAAGTTGAGCAAAAATTCTGAAAATTCTGCGTGAACAGTACCCACGAACCAAAATTTCCAGATTTGGTATTCTTGAATCTAAGGCCATCTAAAGTGGTCCTAATTGATAAGAAATAGATCTTAAGGATGGAAAATGATAAGATTTATATTATAAAAGTTAGAAAGAAAATCCTAAGACTAAGAGAAAGGGTTGAGGTTCAAGAAAGCTAGTCTTGAACTTTATGTCATCTAATGGTCCTAATGGATTGTGTGATCATTATGGTTATGTTTAGGACCTTTGGAACATCCAAGAAGATGTTTGGTGATGTTGAACAAATGCCCACATGGTTGGAAAGTCAAGGGAGTCAAAGGGAAAGTGAGAGGAAAGCTTGAGGTGCAAGTAGTGAACTTACCTATACTGTGTGCTTGATATGTATGCTTGCATGATGTGATTGTGTTGCCATGATGTGACTAAGCTATGATGAAATGTTTGCAAAGTTATGTTTGCAAGTTTATGTTATGTTTTGCCTTGGCAATATGTTATGGAAGCATGAAATGCTTTAGCTTACTTTCCATGGCATTCATGTGTTAATGTTATAACATGTCATGTATGTGCATTATGTCTTGCATGCTTATGGGTAGTGTTTGCTACTGAGATTCTCCTGAATCTCACCCTCCCTAACCAACCATTTAGGTCAATCAATTATGGGCAATAATGGCATGAGAAGCAAGGAGAAGTAAGCGGAGAATTATTCTTGTTAATGGATGAGACTGTTGATAAATGTATAATTCTACTATTTTGTAAACTATGTTATGGATGCCAATGATGCCATGTATTTAATTATAATGTTTATGGCATGAATGAAAGTGTATGAGCATGAACGGGAAGGAGTAAGGACATGTTATGTATGCCAAAGAAATAAAAAGAATTAAAGAGATGTTAAGGGATAAAACGTAAGTCCTGGAGCAATGAGTTTGTAGCTCCAGTTTGACCTATCAAACGAGTGAATTAGGTCATAAGATTTGGCAAGCAAAGAGATCTGATGTTTCTCTTTAAAATGAGGGGTAGTTTGCCTGACTCCGATAATCGTGCAGAAAGTTATGCCTTTCCAAAGTTAGGCAAAAATACAGTAAAATCCGAAAATGACCAAATGAACAGTAACTTTTTCAAAGGAAATTGAGCTCGAATTTCAAGGCAATCAGTTCAAAAACTATTTTTTCTCAAAATTTTATCTAAAGAGATTTTTGTAGAACTTGGAATCACTCAATTTCAATTTTTTTACAATTAGTTACAAATTTTCGAAGTTTGTCACATTTTAAGGTGACAATGAATAGTAACCCGTAAATGAAAATTTTCAAACTTGATTTTTCATCAATTGTAGCCTTCAAAAGTGATTCCAAATGCTTCCGCAAGGAAAGTTAATTGATTTAAACATGAGGTGTTATAGAGACTGGGAACCTCTGTGTCAAATGCAAATAGTTTAAATGAAAGGCAGTAAAACATAATTCACAGCTCTGCTCAAAGACCGGATCAGAGAAGCGTAGTAACCAGATCGATTAGTAGTAATCCTTAAGTCAAAGTTGTAGAAGGGTAAGACCCAAGACTTTGAGATTTTTTTTTTAGGAGGGACTACTAAGGTTTAGAAAGAAAATGTATGTACCTCCAGTAACCGATCTAAGTGAAATGAGTTTAGCATAAGCCCATAAGAGTTGTTACACACTTCATCCAAGAATGACTAAGATGTAGCATGAGCTAACAGAACTTTTCTGGTAGCCTGGAATGAAGAAGGATATAATAGAGTATATATCCAAGTGTTTAACGTGCTAGAAGCTGAAAGTAGAACACCAAAATTAGCAGGACAGTACATCCCTTGGACATCCCTGAATAGAAGTGGGATAGTATATCCATGGATTTCATAGTGGGATTATTGCTTACGTCATCTAAGTATGATACCATATGGGTGATAGTGGATCGATTGACTAAGTCAACCCATTTTCTAGTGGTAAATGTGAAAGATATGCCTAAAAAATTGGCAAGGCTATATATTAAGGAGATTGTTAGGCTGCATGGTGTCCCAAGCAGCGTTGTTTCTATCGCACCTTACTATCGGATTCACTTAGGGTTTAATTAAAACTATTTTAGACCACATTGGATGGTCTCGGGCTCAAAAATTTATGAAAAACACTAATTTTCGGATTTTTACTTTTCACCGGGTAAAAATCCAATTTTTGGGCTCAGCTTCAAAAATTCATAACTTAATCTAGAAAAATCAAAATAGAGTGGTTCAAAATTTTGTAAAAAGTCTTTGAATCCTCTTTCAAGGAAAAATAAGCTTATGAACTAATTCTATTGGAAAAAGTGTCAAGTTTTTGTGAAATTTACCTCTGTCCATTTGGCAAAAATCCTTTTCCCAAATTCTGAACCTTAACTTTGAAAAATCATTAAAAATCGTGTAGTTGGCCATTTTTAACGTGTTGCCTATCAATTTGAAGCTCACGAAGTCAAATATAACATAATAAATTTTGTGCAGAG